CTTCTATATATAACGAATTTTCCATATAACGAACTTTTTTTCGGGATTTAGCGACTTTGTTATATAGAGGTCTGACTGTGTATGTGCGTGAGCGTGCTTGTAGAAAAGCAAGTAAATCCTGTTACTTACCAGTTAAATTGCTTATTTTATCCGAATTATAAGAACTTGTATGGTTTTCCAGAGCAGGAAGTAAGGTAATATTAATTTGAGAAGACGTCTAAAAAGTATAACAAATTCAGAAGCAATTATTACTAAAATACTACAACATCCGATACCCTCTGTTGTAGAAGCAGATGAAGTGGTTTATTATCCAACAGAATATTTGAATGCAGATTTGTCAAGGGTGCCACCCCCCGTATTGCAATTAAAAATCGATGTACAAAGTATCATGTTTCAAAATATCAGCCAGCCAATATTTGTAATAACACTCGGCTTGAGCCTAAAATAATTAATATGATGATAGAAGAAACAGTCTTGGAAGGAAGTTTCAAAGGTGAAGATATCCTCATTCCTATGATTCCGATATGCCATTTTAGTGTAAGTGATCCGATTAACTCCCAATTCGATTGGCAGTTGTAATCACCATCAACAAGCTAAGGGTCAATCTTTAGCATTGTGCGGTTTATATCTAGACACAGATTACTTTTCCCATTGAGTATTATATGTTGTGTGTTCTAAAGTCGACAAATAAGACACTCTCTATAGATGCACAAACAATGGAGCAACAAAAAATAATGTCCATCCACAAGAATTACAAAATTATGACCGAAGGCTTCGGAATGGAACAATTTAAAATTAGTCTTCAAACTTGAGGCCTCCACTAAAAAGACAATGTAAATAATTTCAAGCTCATAAAATAAGGACAAAAATAGATCGTAATAACTTCATTTAATTTGTTACCAAATTGCAAGCGAACTCAGTTGATGGAAGTTTTATTTATGTATACTTAAACATATTTTTTAATGAAAAACCATACCTCATGTTTAGCATATTAGAAACGAGTGCACTTTCTCTTTTCTTTCTTTTCTCTTTTCTTTTCTTTTGAACCATATTAAGCCAGAGCCATATTAAGTCAAACGTGACCGGATACATTTAGCTATAAAAAGCAATCTTTTGGCGAGTTCCAGATATGTAATAGGGAAATCTTTAAACTAGTATCATTAATTCTTTTATGATCTTGAACTATTTTTGACACACTTTTAGAAGCAATTTTAGAGACATGGCAAAGGTTAGTGTGATATTTTGAATCACAATCAAATCTCAAAGTTGTCGTTGATATAAACCGGCTTTCCACTATTTAAACTTCGCACCATTCGAACTTCAGAACTTCTGGGACCGAAGGATTCGATGTGTATCAACCTCGCTATAGAAGTATTTAGCAGAATCCCCCCTTTGAATCCATGACTAAAGCAACATCGACCACTTGCTCCTGACTCAGACCACATGGTTACCACCAACGCAAATAGAAATACAGATAAACCAATAATATAAAAATTTAAGTCAATTCTTACTTTAGAGGGGCAATCTGTTGCAGCCAGTTGTAACTTCATCAGAAATAACACCAAATAAATTTAAAATTTAAAAAATAAAACTTAATAAATGTATTAATATTTGAACAAACTGTATTAATGTAAGTATCATTCACTTCAAATTTTAAAAAAAAAAATTATTTGAACTTGAGTCGATGAATAAAATGTATTTTACGAACAATTGAAAATTTGAACAAGATATATATATATATATATATGTCAGGCCCCAGGTCTACTGGTAAAATGAGGAGGGCATCATCTCTATAATAACGTCTTTATTTTGCTTCAATCACATAAAATCCAAAATGGCGGCCCTTTGGCACGCAACCGAGTAGAACAATAGACAACAATTCGGCGAGGGAGTCACCAGCTAAGCCTTTTCGAGTATGTGTTCTCCTTCGTCAGTGCAACATAACATAAAATCAAGTGAAATTCACACTAAATGTGTATCAATAGTAAACAATGTTGATAAAGTGATAAATGTTGAAAAGTTACAAGTACTTCAAAATGGTATTGAATGTTAGAATAATGAGTAAATAAATACATAGAAAGAATAAATATAGAGTAAATAACAACAAAATGAATTTAGGAATAATGGTAAAGTAAATATACATAAAAAGAATAGATATAAAATAAGTAACAGCAAAATGAATTTAGGAGCTCCCCCCCCAAAAAAAGAAAAGATTACATAACTATAACACAGAAATATACCAAAATAAACACAACATCATTATATCAAAATATCCCTAGAAATATAAAATGCAAAGAAAAATAAGTGTATTTCAGTTATATCAAG